GAGGACCCCGAACGAGGCTACGCCGAAGGCCGGAGTCTCTTTCGGGGAGGTAAACCGACCATGAACCCATTTATACGGGTTGAAAGGGCATATTTTTGGCCTAGCCTACGGGCTCGGAGATCCCACGTTAAACCGGCCTTGAGCCACATGATGCCCTCGTGGTGGGGTGACTAAATACTGTTCAGTCCGAAGTCGGGCGACCGGCTGACCGGCTGATCGGTTGAACTCTCTGCCTTCAGGCGGGGAGGAACCCGAACAAGGCTACGCCGACCCTGAATCCGTTAATACGGGTTCAAAGGGCATATTTCTGGCCGAGCCCACGGGATCGGAGAACCCACGTTAAACCGGCCTTGTGCCACATGATGCCCTCGTGGGAGGGTGACTAAATACTGTTCCGTCTGAAGTCTGAGAGTTCCGTCTGAATCTGGAGTTCCGACTGAAGTCTGGTGTTCAGTCTGAAGTCTGGAGTGAGGTCCGTCAGGAGTCTGTCAGTCAGTCAGTCAGAGCGAGCGAGTCAGTCAGTCGAGTCTGAGGCAGTCCGAAACAGAGTCGTGTTCAGACAATTACTACTAAACCTGATTGTTCGTACTAACACTTTTCTACCTTCTCTGTATATATTCCTGTTTGTAATATATCTGTGTTATTCCGTATCCGTATTCGAGTTCTTCTTTATTGGTTCTACCTTGGACTATCACCGTGGTACAAGGAACCGGACCATAAGAAAAAGGGAAAGAGCGAGAAGGAAATTTGGAACTGTTTGAGACAATGTACAAGAGAAAAAGAGAGAGAGTGAATGTGAGTAGAGAGTTTATGAGAGAAATATAAATGATTATGAGATAGAGAGGAAATGAGAAATAAATATTAACAGACTGAGACAGAGAGAGAGAGAGAGAGAGAGAGAAAAGAGAGATAAAAGAAGAGGAAGTAAAAAACGAACGAGGGAAAAATATGAATAGACTGGGATAGAAAGAAAAAGATAGCGAAGAAGAAGAAGAGAGAGAAATATGAATAACTAAGAGAGAGATATATAATGAGGAAAAATATTAAGAGACAGGAACGTAGAGAGAGAGAGAGAGAGAGATAAAGAGAGAGAGAGAGAGAGAGATGGGGGGGAACAAAGACAGAGAACGAGAGGGAAAAATATGAAGAGATCAGGATAGAAAGAGAAAGGGAAAGAGAGTGATTGAAATATGAATGACTACGAGAGAGAGATAGAATGAGAAATAAATATTAACAGAGGGAGACAGAGAAAAAGAGAAAGAGAGAGGGGGAAGAGGAAAAGAGAGAAGACGAAAAGGAAAAGAGGAATAGGTTGAGACGGAAAGCAAGAGAAAGACAGGGAGAGTGAGAGAAATATGAACAGAGTGAAAGAGATGGGGAAGGAGTGTGTGTGAGAGAAATGTGAATGACTGAGACAGAGAAAGAGAAGGAGAGGCAGCGAGAATGAAAAAAAAAAGGAGAGAGAGAACGAAGGAGCAATATGAACAGGTTGAGACGGAGAGCAAGAGAAAAACAGATAGAGAGAGAGAGAGAAAGAGAGAAAAGGGATAGAGAGAAATAGGAACAGAGTGAAATAGCGAGGCAGAGAGAATAGGAAAATGTCGAGACAAAGAAAAAGAGGGAAGGACGTAAATATGTAAAACAGAGAAGAAGTAATAGAGAGAAGGAAAGCGAAAGAGAGAAAAAAGAAATATAATTAGTTAGGAGTGAGAGCTAAATATATAGATAAATATTAAGAGAGTGGGATAGAGGACAAGAGAAGAAAACACGGCGATAATGTGAATGGGACAAATATAAGTTTTTGAGGTTAAGTATGATAAAGAGAAAGATAAAGAGAAAAATATGAACAGAATGAGAGTGAAAGAAAGAGAGAGAACGAGATAGAAAGAGGGAAGGGAAAGAGAGAAAATATAAACAGGCTGAGACGAAGGAAAAGTGAGAGATATATAGAGAGAAATATGAATAGATTGAGAGAAAGATATGAATAGGTAGGCATGAGAGAAGGAGGGAAATCCGAAGAGAGATACAAACGCAAAGAAATAGATAGATAGATAGATAGATAGATAGAGAGAAAGAAAGAGAGAGAGATGAATAGATTGAGATTGATAGAGTTAGAGAGAGAAAGAATGGATATAGATAGATAGATAGATGAATAATAGATATAGAATGAATAGATAGATAGAATAGATAGATAGATAGATAGATAGATATGAATAGATAGATATAGATAGATAGATAGATAGATAAATAGATAGACAAACAGATAGGAAAATGACAAACTTGAGAGGGGGATGAATAGGTATGAATGAATCTGAAAGCGAAAGTAGAGCAGTTATGTCTGCAATGAAGACAAAACGGCCAACGAATAAATAGGGGAAAAGCAATGAAAAAATAAAAAATAATCATAAAATCATGGTTCGTGATCATGGAAGTTAGTGTAGATAGTTTGAGAGATAAATAGATATGAATAGACAAATATATATATATATATATATATATATATATATATATATATATATATATATATAGAGAGAGAGAGACAGAGACAGAGACAGAATGGACAGCTGTAAAAAATAGACTGCGATAGATGGATATGAACAGAGATAGATATGAACAAAGATAGGTAGATAAATAGATATGAACATATATATATATATATATATATATATATATATATATATATATATAAAACAGTCTTACATCTTACTTATTATAAAACGCAGATTGTGTGTGTGTGTGTCTGTACGTTTATATATTGGATCGGATTTCTTACATTTTTCAACTGATTTCAACAAAACTTCACAGGACTGCGTAAAATTACATTGCGGTGGTTCTGACAGCGCCAAAAATTGGAAAAACACAATTGTTTTTGCACGAAATCAATTTGAAAACACGATAAAACACGATTTTGTCGCCAGAATGAAAGGGGGACAACTCATATCGAGTTATACTTATTATAAAACCCAGGTTGTTTGTGTGTGTGTGAGTGTTCGTTTATATATGGGATCGGATTTCCTACATTTTTCAACCGATTTCAACAAAACTTCACTTCACTTTTTTTGGCAGGTAGTGTTTCTTATTGTCTTGCACACTTTTTTCTTTATTTTTACATTCAGAGTGCTTTAAAAATTCCATTTACAAGACAATTGTTTATAATAAAATTCTATTCAATCTATAGACTCATAACGATTGAAAACAATGTTTTTGTTTGACCAATTCGTAAAAAAAAAACTAATTAAGACATGCGTATCCGTCAACCTTAAACAATAATCTTTGTCAATTTTATTTTTCAGTCTTTATGATGGTCGATACTTGATCTATCTCTTACTGATACATCCCCGGGCAACGCCGGGCTCAACTGCTAGTATAAAATAAGATTCAGATAGGGTGCAATGGGTAAATTGCCGCCATTTTATATTTTTAATTTCGCGCATGCCTTTTGTTATTTTTTGACTTTGTCGACAGCACAGCATAGTAGGGTCAGTTGGGCACCGTCTGTGAGAAAAAGAGCACCATGACGCAATTCACTCTGCCAGAAATTTGGAAACGGCATACTGTACTTCTTGGCATTTTCACCGGAAGCTCTAATTCGAACATTTTTGGGTGTTAATCTGAGGACGGTGCAAAGGATTCGGAAAGAGTTGGATGGGTGTAATGATGATTAAAATGCTGTTTGGAGTGACCCACAGGGCCTCAGGTAGTATTGATGCCCTGGGTCAATTAGGTAGCTGCTAGAAGAAACTGTCCTGCATCTGAATTCTGCACGATGCTACACAAACAGGAGAACCCAATCATTGCTGTGAAACAATTTCTGCGACTACATCGACCCTTACTCCCCACCTGACACCCTAGACTGCAATCCCCTTGATTATTATGCGCGGGGCGTAGTTGATCGAGAGAACAACAAAACTCCTTGGAACACCAAAGATAAACTGAAGTTAAGGATTATGGCAGCATTCACCAATTTAAACATGGAGATTATCCAGAAGAGTTGCAGGACATTTTGAATTCATATGGAGACTGTGGTTGAAGTTAATGACGTTTCTATTGAATAAATTTACTCTTTAGTATTTTAAGATGTTTCTGTGTGATGTTGGTTAGTATATGTTAAAATGAGATGTCAGTGTTATTTTCATTTTTGTCGATAATTTATTCACCGCATATGTGTATATATAAACATATCCAGATAGATACATAGATAGAAATAGACGGAGATAATAGATAGATAGATAATGATAGATAAAATACATATATATATATATATATATATATATATATATATATATATATATATATATATATATAACAAATTGAGATAGATAGACAGATGGATAGATATGAAGAAAGTTCCATATAAAGAGACCTACATTAAATTAAAAGTTGATTCAGATAGATAGATAGAAATAGACGGAGATAGATAGATAGAATATATATATATATATATATATATATATATATATATATATATATATATATATATATAAAAAACAAATTGGGATAGATAGATGGATAGATATGAACAAAATGTTCCATATAAAAGAGACACACACACATACACACAGACATAAACACACACACACACACATATATATGTATATACACACACACACACATATATATATATATATATATATATATATATATATAGAGAGAGAGAGAGAGAGAGAGAAAATTAATACAGATATAAAAGTTGATTGGTGTTTTGCTTCAGCATCCCGACTTCAGAGTTTCGTAGCAATCACTCCATCAACTCAGAGTGCGATAAACAACTTGTGCCAGATATATATATATAGATAGGAATAGAACGGATGTACACAATGTAAAAGTGTGAGAAACAAAGCGAGATATCAACCATAGTGCTTAAAAAGGGACGAAAGAAAGTAAAGGTAAAGAATATTTAGAGAGAGATAGATAGATAGATAGATAGATAGATAGATAGATAGAGAGAGAGAGAGAGAGAGAGAGAGAGATGAAACCTCAGCATAAATCTTTTCGGTCATTTGTTATTGATAACAACTATGATTTACAACTTACAAAAAAATAAATAAATAAATTAAAATAAATACAGTTTTTCTGCTTGTGGAAAATGGACACCTTTTTTCTTTCTTTTTTTTTTTTGTCTATCAGCGTCATTTCGTGACAGAACGTCCCAGAATAAAATGAAATAATTTTTCAAATGTGCAACTCCAATATGAATTACAGCCGCCATATTTTAAAACTGATCACAAACAGTATAATGATATAAGCAACACAAAGATGCTTGTATTTCCAAAATCGATTCTATCTTACGTTGTCTCCATATTTGATCCGGATGCTGCCATATTGAATTTCAACAAATAATTTTCCATTATAAACAACATTATGAGTTTCAGTGCTATGGAGTCGGACGTTAGAAAGGTTGTTTTGGCGTGAATTTTGCTTTCACGCTTTTAACGCGTTGACAGTTAACCCCAAATTAGTATAGTGTGGCGGCACTATTTCTTATTAAAAAGTATAATTAAATTTTAGGTAATAATGAAAGTTTTTAGTGCTAGTGTTTCTTTTTTTTTTGAGAAAAAGGCCAACAAAGTATTTTTCCCAACCTTAGAAGCCATGTTACCAACTAGTGGTAGCGGCTACTTTATTGCATGCATAATATTCTTTTGGGGATTTTCTAGATTATATATATATATATATATATATATATATATAGAATTTATCCATTTCAACGTTTCAGTCAGACGAAAGGTACGAGGCAGTGATCAGGGTAGGGTGAAAGTTATTTGTCTTAAAGGGAAGAAGTTTTATAAAATTAAACCCGGATATTAACCTTATGACATTAAATTGGGGGTATATGTAGAATGAAATGTCAATTTAAAACTAAGAGAAAAATTAAAAGGGCTTAAAAAACTTTAAGATATATAAAGTTATATTTAAAAATACAAAGTCGTACTTGAAAGTACAAAGTCATATTCCCAAAATAAGTAGTATTTAAAAATAAGTCATATTTAAATGATTTATAAATGAATAAAATTATATTTAAAAATAAGTTATATTTAATATAAAATAAATACGTTATATTTAAAAATAAAAAAATATTCAAAAATAAAAATATAAAAAGATAAAATAAATTATATATTTAAAAATAAAAATATAATGAAATAAATCAAAATAAAAAAGTTATATTTAAAAATAAGTTATATCTAAAAAAATAGTTATATCTAAAAACATAATGAGAAAAGAGGGCTTGTCAAATTTGATACACACAAAAGATATTGAAGGCAAAAACGGCAGCTGGAAAAAGCAAGTAAGTAAACTAACAAGCTTGTGTAAATGGATGGCCGAACAAGGATTGGAAGGGCTATCGAATTTGTCTATTCGATAGCCCTTCCAGTCCTTGTTACTAAGAGCTACAAAGAGTAGGACGTTGTGGAGAGCCATGAATCACTTACGTCCTGAAGGGAAACGGTACATAGGAGAATAATATCTAGACGGTCACGGTTTGTTACTTCCATGCACAATCCACCGATCTTGAATCTGTTCATTCAGATCATTGTGAACTTTTGTTGAATAATGACAAAGGGCGCCATCTTGTTGAAACTGGACGGCAATAATTATCTCATTTGTAAGCGGCCAAGGTACAAAGAATTACTGCAAACATGGTGTAATAAATCAGTCCTTTAAATTCGGTAAAGAAGAAAGGTCTATAAATTAACGGTGGGCGATTGTCTTCCCTAATGTTAGACAAAGTCATTTGGACTTTCATCTGCCCAAATCCAACAATTGTAGCGATTTACTTTTACAACTACCAGAACGTATACGACCTACTCTTGATAACCTAATGCCGCGGAAGCACTGGAATAGCCTTCAAAATGCCGCTGAACAATGTGAGCTGTTCAGGGAGACTGATGGCTGCCATATCGAACCTTACTCTTTAGAATTCTATAAGATTTACATGAACGCCGTATAAGCAAAACAAAAGCAAAAACAAAAACAAAAACAAAAAAAAAGAAGAAAAATGTTAACATGGTTATTTCTGGAATATAATGTTTTTAAAGCAAGCACTCTTGGCAATTACATGTTCTGTATTAGGACATAGACCATTAACAGTAATAAATAACGTTAAATATTCACATATCCCAATGCTGCAGCGATTAAATCCGTCCATCAGCGGAATAGATATTAAAATACCCCTGATGTGTGGATGTAATCTCAGTAAAATTCAGCTTTGGGATAAGATAAATGAATAGATAATTTTATTTATTCATATGATGAAATATCCCGTTGATTTCGACGTATGAGGATCCGACGACCTCATTTAGCTTGTATGTTTGTGTTGTAAATGACACTTCAGTCGCGCTAGTGACCTGTATACAAGTCTACATATGGTTTAACAGTGAGGATCTCAGGACATAGCAACAGGAATATTTGTTGAAGTTTTTCGCCGTTGTCTTTCGACTCTTAGTCGGTCAATACGACTGGTTTCGAAATTTATGATACAACTCTGTCACAAATATCTCCAGTTATTTCTATCCAGGGCAACTCGCTCGAAGTTTGTATAAGGAACATTGACAGCTGAGTGGTTACACTTTAGCTTGTCTTTATAACTGAGCCACGGCCGTCCAACAGTCCTTTGTCCACTGTCTATACTTGAGGTATTTATTTATGAGGCTATACATGAGGTATTTATTTATGACGCTATACTTGAGGTATTTATTTATGAGGCTATACATGAGGTATTTATTTATGAGGCTATACATGAGGTATTTATTTATGAGGCTATGCATGAGGTATTTATTTATGAGGCTATACATGAGGTATTTATTTATGAGGCTAAGCTCCAGGAGAATGTTTCTTTGCGCCTTCTCGGGCTAACATTTCCCGATGACCTGAAGGTGAAAGCCTATATTGAATCAATTGCTAAATCTTCAGCTAAGAAAGTTGTTTTCCTGTGTCGTGCTAGAAAATTTTTATCGCCAGGATCTGTCTTACATATTTATAAGTGTATTCGTCCTTGCCTTGAATATTGCTTCCACATCTGCTCTGGTGCTCCTGCTATATATTTATAGATTATTGATAAAATCCAAAGGAGAATCTGCAATGTTATTGATCCTGACTTGGCATCGCGGCTTCAGTCCCTCTCCCACCGCCGTAGCTTCCCTGTGTCCTTAAAATAAATACTTTCATAGTAATTGTTCTGATGAACTTTCTATTATGACACCTAGACTTTATGAATTTAAACGCATTACTAGATTGGCGGCAAGATCTCATCATTTTACAGTTGAAATGGCTAAATGTAACCGTAAGTTTTATGTTAATAGTTTCTTCTCTCGCTCGTGGAACACTCTTCCGGCTTCTTGCTTCCTAGTCAACTTTGATCTTCAAAGGTTTCTTATGCAATATCAATCGTTATCTACTGTCTTCTTAGTTCTCGTTCTTTTAATATTCTTACTCATTATTAATGTTTTCCTTTTTACTTATATTCTCTCATACTCAGTAACAACCTGCGTCTTTATTGCCTTTTCTTGGGTTGAAATGATTAAAACAAAGTTCAGTTGAAATGTCCAGAAATAACCTGGTTGACTTTCTATACATTTTTTTTTTTGGCAGGGCACAATATAACTTTCTTTAAGCACAATGAGTCACTCTTCTAGAGGTTAGCATCAGACATAATGATGGAATCTAGGAAGGGGTCTCTCAGATTAATGGAGAGAAATTTCACTTTGGAGGTGTTAAAATTACCAAACAATTTCTTGCCTCAGTTGACATCAGATTGTAGGTCATATAGTTCGGAGTTTTGATTCACACCGTAGTTCGAGGTTTGCTTCGTATTCACTCCAATAATAATAATAATAATAATAATAATAATAATAACCATAGCTAAACGCCCAGACATCGTGATCAAAGACCACAAAACAAGAAATAGCTAAAAGGTAGATTGTAGACGTAAGAGAGAACACACTATATATATATATACGTCTTAAATAATTGTCGGACTTTGTCCATTTCATAATGTATGACGTCATTCGTTTACATTTGGATACGCATTGAGTAGATATGAATGTACGAGAGAGAATCATGGAGAATTGTAGTTTAAAGACAGTAAAATCCACCTTGCTAACCGAATGCTCCTCTGTGGCCCAATCGCTTAAGTCACGTCAGGCTATAGGGTATAGGATACAGGTTCGAATCCTGTCGGAGGAAGAATATTTTCTATGAAAATTTCTCGGACATTCAGGCCGGTAAATGTTATTAATACTGTTTATTATAAACAGAACATTTACTTAAATATTTGTATCTATAAAAAGAACGTATAAACATAAAAAATGTCTTAAATAATTGTCCATTTTAATATTTATATATATATATATATATATATATATATATATATATATATATATATATATATATATATATATATTATAATATTAGTGGTAAATATACATACATTTAAATTATGTGTGTGTGTATGGATGTGTATGTGTGCATACACACATATACATGCTTGTGTGTGTGTATATATATATATATAGATAGATAGATATATGTATGTGTGCATGTGTATGTATGTATATGTATGTGAAAAGTGTGTATATATGGATATAGATGAATATGTGTATGTGTGGATATGTGAATATATTTTTATATTTTTATATGTGTGTACATGGGTATATGTATGTGTGTATGTGGGTACACGCCTATGTGTATGTATATACGTGTATATGTTATTGTGTATGTGTGTATTCACATGTGTTTTTGAACATAGAAATATAGGTCCTTGCTGGATTAAATAATCGTTATATTTATTTTTTATATGTTTATATTTGATTTGTAACCTGTTGTCGATATTAAATTTGTCAAATTTTCTCAATTACAAAGCGGCCCTTTAAGTAAACGCAATTTTACTTTCCTCGTCCCATCTCTCTCCCCCACCTCGTCTTTCCCTCCATCTTATTCTAACATTAGATTGTCTACGGTGTGTATGTAACCACGAAATGTATCTTTATGCATTAGACATCCG